TGCGATGCGGGCGGTTTTTATTTTTTGCGGCGTTTGTGGTTGGCGGCGGGCGGGCGAGCGATTTTTATTTTTTGCGGCGTTTGCGGTTGGCGGCGGGCGGGCGCGCGATGCGGGCGGTTTTTATTTTTTGCGGCGTTTGCGGTGTTGTTTGCGGTTGGAGGGGGTCGTTTTTACTTTTGCGGCGTTTGCGGTTGGCGGCGGTCGGGCGGGCGGTTTTTATTTTTTTTTTGCGGCGTTTGTGGTTGGCGGCAGGCGGGCGTGCGATGCGGGCGGTTTTTATTTTTTGCGGCGTTTGTGGTTGGCGGCGGGCGGGCGAGCGATTTTTATTTTTTGCGGCGTTTGCGGTTGGCGGCGGGCGGGCGCGCAATGCGGGTGTTTTTTGCGGCGTTTGCGGTGTTGTTTGCGGTTGGAGGCGGTCGTTTTTATTTTTGCGGCGTTTGCGGTTGGCGGCGGGCGGGCTGTTTTTTTTTTTTAATAATTAAATGTCCAAACCTTTGGATTTGTAGTGCTCCTCGAAAAGCCATCCCTACCTACTATACAATTAAGAGAAGTAACTACCAAACACAGCCCTACTTATATAAACATACAAGCTTTGACAACCAAACTAATGGCCCCATCAACCATATCTATCCGAACGTACAGTTATCCCGTAAACCTGTATTCTAGTCTTGACTAATTCGAAAGTTATTCGAGAAAAACTCTCTCCATATCTAGCGCCGCCATTTTGACTTTTTCGACCCCTGTGACGTCATCTTTGACCTGACCTGAAAATGACCTCAGTAAAAATTGTAGATCTTGGCCGTGCATATCCGATGCCGTTTACCGCTTGTCGCTATCTTGCTTCGTTCTCGAGATCTCAGGGGGGGGCGGTCATCCGCCCCCCCCCCCCCGTCGGTGCGAAGTTGGCGCAGACCCCCGTCGGTGCGCGGGTTAAAGCGCTGAAATTTATGAAAAACGAATGTTTATAATCTGAATAAAATATATATCCCTGAGCTCAGAATTGATCAACGCACACAATGCTGTCAAAATTTTTGGGCCAAAGTCAATAATTAAGTCATTATGAACCCCAAACACAAGTCAGTAATAATCAACAACAACTTGCTCTTTAGTTAGACTTTTTGAGAAATGTTATTTCGAGCCGCTAAAGATGAGCATGTCATGGCAAACAACTAGTCAATTGCCTGCCATGCCCTATTGACGATTATTGCCTATTACTGCTACTTTTCGAGATATCGTCTGCTTAGTCACCTGATATAGCTGCTATGCCACCCTACCGCGGTAGGGTGGCATAGCAGCTATATCAGGTGACTTAACAGACGATATCCCGAAAAGTAGCAGTATAATAGGCGATAATCGTCAATAGGGCATGGCAGACAATTGACTAGTTGTTTGCATGACATGCTCATCTTTAGCGGCTCGAAATAACATTTCTCAAAAAGTCTAACTAAAGAGCAAGTTGTTGTTGATTATCACTGACTTGTATTTGGGGGTTCATAATGACTTAATTATTGACTTTGGCCCAAAAATTTTGACAGCATTGTGTGCGTTGATCAATTCTGAGCTCAGGGACATATATTTTATTCAGATTATAAACAATCGTTTTTCATAAATTTCGGCGCTTTAAAGAGCGCCGGGCCGTCAGTAGAGCGGCGAGGTGACAATTGCCCCTACATCATATGGTTTACTGGCGCATATCTCGAAAACTAGCAGGGAAAAGCAGCAAAGCACCTATATGGAACGAAAGATGAGTAATCAGAGGCTAGTATAAGATGTTCATAATTAGCCGCTCGAAATAACGTTTTTATAAAAGTCTACTTAAAAATTTAGATATGATTTTTATTATAGTCTTGCAGCTGCTTGCAAAAAGCTAGCTTATCTTGCAGAAAAGCGATGCAATATGTAAGAATGTTGTTGGTACAGTGAACAACAGTGCCCTGAACTAGTCTGACAGAAAATTGCGTTCAAAACGACAACTGGTCAACTAATAAATATCAACTAAAGATTGGCATTAAAATCGGCGAATGTGGTGGCCACTAGCGGGTCTAAATAGTCTTGTGTTTGGTGACAACAGGGCTGGTAAAAAGCGCCGATTCGCTGATAATATCGGAGCCAGAACAATAGCTGTACAAGCGATTTAGGGAGCCAGAAATAAGCGTTTCGACGCAAGTATGCATGTGCAGGATAACTCCTAAGTTTTGTTTCATATTTTCATTTTATTTCTACGACAAACCTCAAAATACAAGATGCCTAAGCAGTTAAGCACAAATATTGAATTAGTAACATCATTCAATTTCCCAATGAGGTCTTATGCGCAATGTTTGTCTACAAAGTACAAAGCTGGTAGCCTATTCAGAATAGCTGTAAATGCTTACCGCGAACAGCGTCAGCATTCATCACCGAAGAGCCATCAGTCGATTTCCAGCTTTAACACTACGGAGAATAGGGCTCCGTAACTTTTATCAGTTGATGAGGACCTAGTGTTGAGGGAACGGGGAGCCACAGAGCCTTCTACCATTGGCGGTTCACTGTATTACCGACTACTTTAGAACACAAATAATGATATTCAAGTGGACTTTTCATTGTCTCGTGCAGGGTTGCGGCACGGGCAAACCAAAACTGGTGAAACTGTACATTTCATGGTATGTTGTTTGTTGTTCGGTTGGATTTGAAGTTGCTCCTCTTCTGAATAGTAGGTACATCTCATAGCAATATCATAGACCACCTACCTCAATATTTTAAGCTGATCAAGCAGTGGAGCTGGACATAAATATGGCGCTTGTTTTTATTTTGAAGATGCATGCGGATACCTAACTCAAGTGGCTAACGATGCTCATTTATTTGCCAACCAACCCAGTATGGTTAGCATATTTGTTACCTACTAAATCAAATTAGATTTTGAATATCAAGATATGTTCCTCTTCTGCATGTTTTTCTTTTTGGTACGTCATACTCGAAATATGCTTATATAAGCAATCCTGATTTATATTTCAGGCATTTCGTAACTAAAATTAATATTAGACTTTCACTTATAATGCCTTTGTGTTTCAGTTCTCAGCTTAAGACATCATCAATTCAATCATGTGTATCTCAGATGACACATACAATGACCAGCCTGCGGAAGATCTATGCTAGTGGGCGATATGATGAAATTTCCTCTGTTGGTGAGTCAGTAATATATTTTTTTTTTGTCAACAACATTCATTGCCTTACTTGCATTTGTCCCTTACATTTCTTTCACCAACCAGCATAAACAAAAGTAGAAGAAATTATATACCTACATTCTTTTGCTGTGTTTGACACCAGCCGATGTCCCAAAATCAGGATACATCAGTGAGCTATCAGTAAAACTAAAATAGTTACTGATGATGTTTAAGGTGTTCCTGAAAAAGGACGTTGTTCACCGCGCTTTCAAGCCTTTTCTGTTACGAGTGTTAGGAGCCACTTTTCATGGCCAAAAATTTGGTCAGAGCCACCAAAACCATTTTTACCAGCCCTGGGTGACAACTGACCACCTCAATTTCGACCTTAGGGCAAAAATGGCATCAGAATCGTATGCTTTGATCAATTTGGGATCGAATGATACATATTTTGTTCATAGTGTGGAAAGTCACTCTTGGGGGTATTTCTAGCGCTTTTCCGGTCCGCCGGCCCAGCGTGCGCCGCGCCCGCCGGACACCCCTCACCGCCCCACCCCCTGCGGTGCGCCTCGTTACCTCTCTCCGCCCCCTCTCGGTCACGTGACCGATCGGCCGGTCGGCCGCTCGCTGCGTGTGACCACGTCTTGGGGCGCGAGCCGGCCGGCCGGTCGGTGGCGGCGGCGGCGGCGGCAGCGACTGCGGTCTCTAATTTCAGACACCTCCGGCGCGCAGACTGACCACGCTAATGCTCGCCTAGGCGACAGTGACGCGTCGATTTCGCCACAGTGCGGCGTCAACCGGCGCGGCGGCGGCTAACAAGGCCGCGTCACAAAAAGTCGGCCCGTGTTGGCTTTACGTCGCAGGGAAGCAGGTGGCGGCGGCAAAAACAGCCACGGAGGAGATGGGATCCGATTGGAGGGCCGACAAGTTGGCCGCGAGTTGCGGAGCGCAGCGGGAGAGCCGGCTCTGACCACCTGCCCGGGTATCGCCGCGCTAACAATCACAGAGACAATCATCGGCCGGGTCGGGTTTCGTGGCGGCAGACCGTGGCCGTAGTTTCATCGTAGTTTGACTTACGTATAAGAACGGAATGTCCAATGTCGGTGCTTTTTGTCGGTATTCAAGGTCATGATGGAATATGAGACGATTTAATAAGGTCATCACAAATTAGTGTAACGTGTGGTGAAAACCGCACTTTGAAATCTATTCAACTGTTCCGTAACTCTCTTACTTTATAGGTTGTTTTAAAAATATTTATGCATATAAAACACGATCTCAGGGCCAGTTGGTATAAAAGAGATCAATGCTAGTACTGCAAGGACTCCCATGGAAGAATTATGTTGAAGATAGTTCATCGATTTTTATCTGCTTTTCTCAAGCTGCATATATGTGTATAGCAGCGGTAGGCATGTCGCTCCCACAATCCTGCTCCAGGAAGATAACATCCCGTTCAGTAAGAAATGCTTGTGATCCAATCCTATCATAATACGCAGCTGAGCACGAGGCAAAGAACAGTATGATGCATGTGCAACACATACGCAGTCAAGAAGTTTGCTAGAATAAACAGGTTACTTATAAACAACTGGTGAAGTTTCTGTTGCTGAGAACTTACCGAGTACTGCATGCGCTGAGAAAGCACAGCTCAGCCAATGTTGTGCGGCGATGCAGTGCAGTGTCAAGTGTGAGCTTTATACGCATGTGAGTGTGTGAAAAATGTATGCCAAGTTCTCAAATAGGCACCAAGTCGTGCTGACTACACTGTTTCATGTAGATGCTAAAATGCATCACCTACCACTTGTAGGTAATTTTTACTCTGTACTGCCATGCTCGTGGATTCATTTGATTTCTATATCTGAAGGAATAATCGTCAAAGTGGGTGAAGTTTATGCATGGTGTATTATACGCGATTCCCCATCACAGCTCAATCAAGTCATATATCAATAATTCAACCAATTAAATAGAATAATGCATGCTTTTACCTCCGCACTACTTTTCTTACAGTTTTCCTATTTCATAGTCGGGAGCATCTCCCTGATGAGTTTGAAGAGCGGCAGAGGGCCCTCGCCGCAGACATTCTCCCAGTCATCTTGCGCCATGTCAAACACCATCGCTCCGGCCAGGTCCAGCGCTCGCACCAGGGTCGCCTTGGCGATGATGCTGCGCGCGTTCTCGAAGCTGACCCACTCGGCACCGCTGTAGGCGTACGGCACGAGCCCGAACGAGTCCCAAACTTCGGTACCGTTGTTCTGAAGCAGGCGACACACGTCTGCCAGAGACGCATAGCCGTCTTCCCACGGGCCAATGGCAGGGGCGTAAAGACCGTGCCTGTCAGGGTTCAGCAGCTTCCAGTCGCGCCCGTAGGTTGGCAGACCCATGAGCAGTTTCTCACGAGGCATGCCGCGCTGCAGCCACAGGTTCATGGAGTAGTTGCAGTTCAGCTCGGCGAAGTAGCCGACATCTGCCGGCGAGGGGTACAGTGGCGAGTTGTGCCCCGTGGCCGGCGTCAGCGTCTGAAAGAAGTGGTAGTCGTACGTCATCACGCTGGCGAAGTCGACGGCTGCAGCGACGCGCGGCACCTCGTACGACACGTCCACAATGGTGGTGGGAGCTCCGACGGCCACCGACAGCAGGCGGGGGCGCGACATCGCCTTCAGCACCGCCTGCAGCGTCTCCAGCAGCAGCGAAAAGTCACGCCGCTCGTGCAGGGGCCGCTCGAACGCCGGGAACTCCCAGTCCAGGTCCAGACCGTCCAGGTTGTTGTCCTCCATGAGCTGAGCAGCAGACTGTGCGAACGTCTCTCGACTGTCGTTACTCGCTGCGATCCCGGCGAACTGGTTGGGAGATCCTCCGACGGTCAGACAGACACGCAGGTCCGGGTTCTCCTCCTCCCGCTTCTTGACCAGCTGCGCCAGGAGTGGTACGTCCGACTCGCCAACAAAGAGCTTGCCGTCATCGCCTATATGACCAAAGAACACGAGCAGATGCGTGCACAGGTCGGCCTCGACCAGGTCGTACGGTACCGTGCGCGAGATGTAACAAGCGCGCATCCAACTGCGCGACACGGTCGGCAGCCGCACATCCTTGGGAAGCTTGTTGTCGAACACTCCGGGGGCAGCTAGCACAGGAAGGAGTGTCGTCACTGCTACCAGCACCAGCAGTTTCAGCGTCAGCGGAGACGGTGAGGAGATGGGGGCCATGGCGGAGCACAGCTGCGGCCGACGCAGCGCACGGACGACTGAGAGTCAGCGACCGGGCCGAGATCGGGGACGAGGCTCGAGAGGAAGTGGTTTATCAGTGGCCGCCGAGATCGCTCAGCGCGGGTCACGGCCGCCTTTTCAAGTGCGCGAACATAAACCATGGTCTGTTGTCTCCTAGTTGAGTGGGAAGGGACGGACAGCAACGCTGTATTCGTCGCAGCAGCTGCGCAGGCACGGATGAACAAAGTTGTCCGGTGACACATCACCCCACCGCATGTTTGCAGCCTGTCCGTGTTATTGTGTTTATATTAGTCGTCTCGCCGTGGGTGGTCGCCCGTGATTGCAGACTGTGGGAATTGTCAGCGCGCCTGTCGACCCTAACACAGAGATGATTAGTTTACTTTGAGGAAATAACTGTGGCTTCTGACAGCTGCGCGACATTCCTGGTTTAGTGCTTTTGCAAGACGACACCCTCATAATGTTAGATGAGCGTTATATTTGTTTTGTGACTCGGGTATGCGTATACACGCTTGGCATTTCTACGCAAGTTTGATTTAATATTTTTATGTCGCAATTCATGCTGAGTTGTTTATTTGACACTTATCTACCGTCATTTTTTAACAATAAATCTGCCAGCGAATGATGTGTGGCAATAATGAACGTTTCTCTCTACTAGGATCGGTGCTCAAGAAATAAAGTCCATTGGACATTCATGGTGAGTGAGTGGTTTTGATATGTCTAATGTCCGTGTCGTTTTACGTTATCATGTAACATCTGTCTCACCTATTTGACCACGTATAGCCAAAAGCGCACAATAAATCAAGTGTGGGTGAGTGTGTATGATTTTATGTGTATGGTCTAATATCAGTGGGTGAATATCCAATGGGTCGATAAGTTGATTGCATCGGGAGCCTGCGCAGCTGCTGCAAAGTTATTCCACGCGATAGTTGACAAAACTCGACATACGATGACTAGCGTCTTAGCTCTTTTATACTTTGAAATGAGCATACATTCACTAACCTTGTCATTTGTCCTTACCCACATAACACAGCTTCAGGGTCGAGGTCGACACCGAGTCTGTGTTATAACTTATACTGAGCACGAGTGCCACACAAGCCATCTTTCGCTGGGCTCTGCAAGGACTTCATCGCCAGAGTGGTATTGAAATTGACCAGTGAACTGCCGAGTTTAATATCTAATTCGTTCGCATAAGTCTTAAATCGCACACTGCAGCAGCTACATCCAGCACCATCTGTTGGTGACCCCTCCCACTCTAGTTCCCGGGCCGCCCACAGATGGCTCTGGCGGCCGGTGGCGGTCGGCGTCTCTCCGCCGCGGCGTGGCCAGTCAGACGGGCGCCGACAGCAGCGGTGGACGGTTCTGTGACGGCCCGCGCCGTGGTGCGCCCTGGACAGCTCGCTCTGAGGCTCAGAGACCGGTGGGACGCAGGTGGATAGTGGGACCATGGTGTAACAGACAGAAGCACGAACCGAACTGACGGCTGATCAGGCGTCATAAACAGTATTTGTGTTGGTCTTCGAGTGGACAAGGCAGCCAACGCCGGGCCGCGTGCCTGGTGAGCGGCTCGCGTGTGTCGGAGCAATGATGGGAGCACTGGCGTGGATGCTGGCAGCTGGCCTTCTTTTTGAAGGTAAGTTGTTTCTTCTTTTTCTGCTTGATGGCGCTTCTTGTACTTCAACAATGGTGAACCGGGCTGCATATGACGGACAAAAAAAGTCCGTTAGATGTAATTGCTTTCGCTGCAAATATTTCGATTTTGCACTCGCGGCATGCATTCCCGCTAACATCAGAATGTTTGCAGTTAAACAAATATAGAAGCATCAAGAAGATCTTATTTGCGTCCATGTCGTTGTTCATGCCACACTTGTATGTTGTCCTTTTATCAACAATGTTTATCAATCGCAATCACGCTGCTGGTTGTTTTCCTACTTAGCCAAAAAAATATTTTACATGCATTGAAAACATTCGGTTACCCAGAAATACGAGAATGCCACGAGGCGCAAATCCAAAGCACATTTCCAAAATTAATTTAGCAGGATTCGCTTAGGGAACTCGGCGTAATGTTAAAATAGCATCCATGCATCTAACGCGCCTCCGACTCTCCGGGAGAAAATTGACACAGCTCCAGTGAGGCCAAATCTGCCCTTTGCCAGCATCAAATAGTCTCCCAAAAGGTTACATTTCGCTTCTACTGGTAGTCCTCGTAACTCCATCACTCCCTGCGGAGGTAGCCTTGGTAACTCTATAACTCCCTGTGGGAGTCGACTGCGAGAGTTGATCGGTCCAGAGCAAATGGAACTGACACACGGCCGCTCACTGACTCATAACATCACGGTCGTGACATTTGGAAATGCATTGTTTCATACAGACTGCAGGGAACGCGCACAATCAATGCATTGAAACGGAATGCAAGCAGCAATATTAACATTTAAAGCGTCACATGACGAACTCATTGCTTTTCTCAGTGCAGGGAAATGAATTGTCTTTCTGTAATAGAATCTCTATGATTCCGAGCCATTAGAACATCTATGCATTGCCTACTTAATTTCGAAGCAATACTTGCTCGTTGTCCGATTGCTCGTGCAGTCTCACGCGCGATCAGTATCTTGCTGCAAATGTTTTGTCCCTCTTGCCTAAAGTACATACAACACTTTTTGGACTGAGGTATGCGATGCATAAATTAATGCTGTCTTCGCGTTATTGTGTCCATTATTGTACTAATTAATCGTAGTGAATGTAAGTACAGATTATGGAGCAAGAGTTTGTTATGCAAGGGCCCAACATTTGCATTTAGCATAGAATTATTGATAATTCCGCTCTCTGCCCGACTCTTCACATATACCGAAAATAATAATGTTATTCCATTTAGATGCAATGAACAATGAACTTACTAGCGTAGCTAGTAACAAGGATATCAACCGTTTGAAGAGAATCAAATAGTACGCTTTAATAATAACACGGAGCAAAAATGACAAACGCTTGTTCCGTGTTATATGTAATACTTGTCTCAACTAAAATACGTTTTAAAAACTTTGACGGTAATTGAAGTAAGCCGTCTAAGCTCCTATGTGTTAAGTTATTGCCCGATTGAAGTTACGTAGTGAAAAATGCATTATCTTTTTTACTAATGAATCCTGTCTCGGATTTCTACACATATTTTTACGATTTTCCTCTGATAGTTCGTTATTTGGCAGTAATCTCATCTCACGATGGTCCCCACACCGGCAGTTTTGTGGTTTTCGCAATCCTCCGTCCTGTCTCCGGCATTCCAAATCACTCTCTGCACGACACCACATCATCACGAGCCGATCTTTGGATAAGCAGTCCGGTCACGAAGCTGCAATATCAGAACCTTAGTAGCCATGAGGATTCAGCATCACATATGCCAGCCACCCTCACTCCTTCCATAGACATGGATTTTGATTTCTATAAGCTCCACACTGGACGGTGCGCATGGCTTGGACGATGCCAGGCAGCTCATACAGTCAAAGTAGAGTAGCGTAGAGTGGATCTGATACAGTGATGCTAGTTGGTGGCTCACACTGGCCAATCCTAAGTTGTCACGGCTCAAAGTGGTCTATTGCAAACCACCGTGGTCCTCCATGACTCATCGTGAAATTACTTCTTCGTCGTATAACATATCTGGTCATACATATAGCAAGTCATATCTATCCGCTCGGTATAACACGACATGACAGATTAACAGATACTGTAATGTTTCGTCCTGTCGCGATCCTCCATTATCTGACGTGTAGGCCCGTCAATGTCCCGTCGTAGACCGTCCTGTCGCAACGAGCACAGGACGGTCCAAAGCTATATGGCCCACAGTGGCCTGGCATGGCCCACCGTGGCCCATATCACCGCTGTGACCCACAGCAGCCCTGCCATGGCCTGTCGTGGTCCTTCGTGGCCCACCTTGGCTCACCGTTTGGCGGTTGCCAAACCTGACTTGTCGCCGTGATTTCCGTCCTTCATCATTGGTCCCTGTGGAGCCATCGGTACGTTCGCCCGGTCGGCCTGCCCGTTGACAGCGACACTGAGCTCTTTTTGTCTCGGCACGGCTCATTCGATAGGTCCCAAATGGGTTGGTGATGTCACGTGGCGGGTCAGGAGGTGCCAGCACGGCGCATCGATCCTAGCTGGTGTACAAAATTGGATTTGCATGTGCTGAAGTGAAGACGGGAGGGAGAAGGGATTTCGGATATTGCTCCGGCTGTTGAATGAAATTTGTTGCCTGATATTTTCTTGGTTGCGGGGGTGGACGGAAATAGCTATTGCTTCTGAAAGTGGATTGAAGTCAGAGGTATCCACTGCTGTATGATATAACGTTACATAAGCGGGGGTGTCATTGTTTGTGGTCGCCATGCGGTCAATGTAAACAATAGAAGGTGCAGTACTGCACAC